CTTGTGCACCTTATTTCCAAATTCGAAAGTAAGTGTTTAGACCTCATGTAAATTAATTTCAATTATTTGGTAGGTACCTATACTCATATTTTATAGATACCAAATAATATAAAAGTTAAATATTAAGTAGTTTACTGTGGGAAAGGTACATTTGTGATAGGTGACTCTTTGTTATTATTTAGAAGAAGCCATTACGCTTGAAGTGCTGCTAGTCCTCGACTCGCAAAGTGTTTGCCAACTTATTTCTAAATTAGGAGAGAGATTTGCAGTCATCAAAAAATTACAGAGTTACAAGATAAGCAGGAGCAATTAATGATCTTTTATCAGCATCAAAAGGTAGTATTTTTGTTAAATGTTTTAAAGATGTAGTCAGAGTCGTTCGGCATCGGCCGTATGCGACAGTATTAAATTTCGGCCGATCACGGTGCTCTGACCACAGCCTAAGAGTATTTATTTAGTCCATTTTGTATTTTTATATTCCATGGAATAGGATATAATAAAATTGTTTAAAAATATTATATGCACATTTTATTTCTCATCAATCAAACAAAAAGTATGAAATTCAGGGTATACATTAGTTTACATTAGTCAAAATAATTCTATAGTGAAATGCAAACCGGTGCCAAATCAGCGGATTTTGAGATTTTGTTATTTATGTGGTCTGTACTTTTGTATCAATAAACGTTTTTTTGTTTACTTAAAATTATTCAAGTGCTAACATAAATACAATTTTGATAAAACAAAAAAAAATAATACCCAAGTACATGTCTGCAGATCAAAACAAAATCTCGCAATCCGCTAATTTGGTACTTAGTTTTGCATTTTCACTCTAGACTTATGCCTTAACATTAAGGTCATCGTTATTACTGAAGTAAATATTACCTAAAATGCTGTTTTCTATCAGGCTCCAAGCATTAAATAATAAGACATTGTTTTAACAACAAATACATTTAATGTGTTTCAAAAATAAGCCTATTCTAGATGTTAAGGCAACCCGATGTTTACTTAAAGTAATGATGCAGTTAAAAATAAGTCAACTAACTTTCAGTATTTTAAATCCACCATGCCTTTATATTAAATGCACGTTTCTTAGGCCATATCCGAACCCGTAACTACTTTACCACAAATGCATAGCGTTTATATTTAATGCTAAGTTTTTTCAGTGTATACTTAAATAAAATAAGTGAAAGAAACATTATTAGTATAAATATTATTTATTCATTCTCAATATGAAAAAACTAAGTTTTGACATTAGTAAAAAAAAAACAAACAGCGCACTCTTGGCATACGCAACGCTACTTGAAATCTCTTGTTTTAACAACAAACAACACTGTATTGATTTGTAAAGGTAACAATAATTTTAAATTTCCGTCTTTTGCACAAGAGCATAACGCATGCACATACACAAATTATTAAATGAATGATTATTGACTGCACATAAATCATTATTATCAAATAACCAGACTTAGACGATAAGAGAATACGCACAGGTGATCATTAAGATTTTTTTCTCTTACGTATAAAAATTCAAATGAAAGTAAATGAGTCGCAATTATGAATTCAAGTGGCTTTTATTATTTTTTCCTTTGTAGTTTCGATTTTAATTTGCACATTAATGTAGCGTAGATGACTTTGACCTTGGCCGTCAACGTGTTTTCAAGTATCATTATTTGCGATTTTTATTACTGCAAATGCTTTCAAATTGAACAATTCACAAAATAAATTGAAAAAGAGCTTCTAAAAATTTAATTAAACATATTTTTTTTTTTTTTTTTTTTTTATTGATGTACGTAAACCTAAAGAACCCATTGTGGGTTATAACAGGTACATTTTGTTTGTTTGTATATAAATATATAAATAAATGTAATGTGTAAAACAATGTGTATATATAACTGTATAAATAGATAGAATATAAATATAAATATGTAAATAAATGTCTCGTTTATATCACAGATCTTTCCTAGTGCTAATTATATGCTGGACTATCATTTTTTTGAATTGGCTGTCAGTCATGTTTTTGTAGCTCTCGGGCAAATTGTTGTACAAACTAACTCCTCCTGAAGCCAGTCTTCTCTCCCCCATTTTGGTTTTGGACTTTAGCAGTCTGTAAGTGTCCCTTCCCCTTGTATTATAGCTGTGGAGCTCACTATTCATTTTGGCATTCAAGCCCCGTGTTTGGTGGACTATTTTTAAGGTCTCAGTCTGCCTCAGTTCCTCTATGTTTAACAATTTTGTGCTTTGGTAGACATATGCAGTTGACATGTCTTTTTTTAGATTGTACAAGATTTTTATGACCTTGTTTTGTTGTCTTTGTAGGTAGTTTAGGTTAGATTTGTCTCCTGTTGCCCAAAAGGTTATGAGGTAGGTTAGTTTTGGCTTTATGTACGCGTGGTAGACTATGTTTTTTTGTTGTGTAGGTAATGCATTTTTTAGTTTGTGAGCTAAGCATGTATATGATGCTAGAGTTGTGGCTAGTTGTTGTATGTGGTTCTTCCAGGTGAGACGTCTATCTATGGTAAGTCCTAGATATTTTATTTGCTGTACTTCTTTCAAAGTTTTGCCCTTTAATTTTAATTTGTTGTTGTGTGTCTTTGGCCTTTTTTCTATATGGATTATGTAACATTTGTCTTCGTTTAGTGTTAAGAGATTGTCGTTTGTCCATTTTTCCAGTTTTTCCAGGTCTTGCTCCATATTTTGTTGAGTGGCTTTATCGTTATTGTTTACATAGAAGATTGCGAGGTCGTCTGCATACATCATATGCTTTCCGTTTAGATTTAATTTGTATAAGTCATTAATGTAGATGATATATAGAAATGGACCAAGTATCGATCCTTGAGGCACTCCAAAGTCGACATTTTGGACATCACTATGCGTTGATCCTATTGTTGTGTACATTTTCCTTCCCTTTGAGTATGATGTAAGCAAGGCCAGGGCATTTTGGTGTATTCCAGCTTCCTCCAATTTTTTGCCGAGAGTGACCAAGTCCACTGTGTCGAACGCCTTTTTGTAGTCAAATATTAGACCAGTTACGCATTTTCCGTTGTCCAGTTGTGTCTGTGTAAATTCTAGCAGGTCGATCAAGGCCGTTGTTGTCCCTCTATTTTTTCTGAAACCGTGTTGAGATTGTGTCAGAAAATTTATGTTTTGTATGTGATCATATAATCTATTGTGTATAACCTTTTCGAACACCTTATTTAAAGTAGTTAGGTTTGCTATTGGTCTGTAGTTGCTCGGATCTTGTCTATTTTCACCTTTCCAAATGGGTGTGATTCTTGCTATTTTGAGCTCTTCTGGATAAGTTCCCTTTTTGATGTGTTCGTTAATTAGTTTTACTATTGTAGGTCCTATTATGCTTACCAGATTTTTTAGTAATAGTGGTTTGATGTTGTCGTATCCTGGTGACTTGTTGTTGTTCATGTTTTTTATTATGGTTTCTATTTCCTTAAGGGTGGTGGGTCTAAGGTACATTGATGCAGTGGGTTTTTGTTCGGTAGGATGTGCCAGTTTGGTCTGTCTTATTTGAGAAGCAAGTTTTTTCCCTATTGTTGCAAAAAAATTATTTATGCTGTTTGCTATCTCTTTAGAGTCTTTTGTTGTTGTTCCTTTTTCTGTGATAATTTCTTTGATTTCAACTTTGTGGTTGTTTTTTGTATGCTCGGTTTCTTTGATTATTTCCCATATTTTTTTGCCATTTCCATCAGCAGCTTCTATTTTGTGTTTATAATACATTCTTTTTTCATGTTTGACCATGTTTTTAACTCTGTTTTTTAATTTTTTAAACTTACTTTTTAGATGGTTACAGTCCCTGTTTTTTACCATGTTTTTGTAGGCTTTGTTCCTTAGTTTAATTTCTTTATAAAGGTTTTTTGTCATCCATCCTTGTTTGTTTGAAATTGTGTAGTAATTGGTTGTGATTTTGGTGCATTTTTCTGTTTCAGCCTTTATTAGATTCTGCAAATCGTTAAAGGTTTCAATTTGCTGTGTGAGCAGCAATTGTGTTATGTTATTTTTTAGCTGGTTGTAATTTATTTTTGTGTTCACATATTTTTCCTTGTATGGTTTTGCTGTATGTGTGAGTTTTAGGTTGAAATCGATTTGTTTGTGATCACTATTGGGAGTGTCTGTTATGTTTAATTTTATTTGTTTATTCATGTTTGTTAAGACATGGTCAATTATAGAATTTTGGCCATGCGGGTTATATCTTGTGTATTTTTCTTGTTTAATCTTGTTTTTTATGATGAATGAGTGAGAGGCCACTAAATTTAAGTATTCCTTTGTAGTTTTGCTTTCTTTATTGAGAAGATCAATGTTGAAATCACCTATAAGTATAGTGTCTTTGTTGTTTAGGATATTTGCCTCGAGCGCCTCAAAGAAGTCATCTATTTTGTTTGTTGGTTTCCTATAGATCACACTGATATTGATTTTAAGCTCAGTTAAGATTATGCTTAATATATTATTTTCATTATTTTGGTTTATGTTGCTATTTATGTGAAAGCTTATGTGTGTTCTTATATATATGCAAACTCCCCCTCCTTTACTGGTTCTGCATGAGTGAGCACAGTTATAGTGTTTTATGTTGTAGTAAGTGGTTTCTTGTTGTGTTAGCCATGTCTCTGTCAGAACTAATATGTCTGGGCTAGTTTGAGCAGCTAGTATTTCAATTTCGTTTAGTTTTGTTTTTAGGCTGCGTATGTTTAAGTATGTACATTTTAGCTTTAGTTTTCCTTTAAGTGTTTTGTTTTGATTTTGGTTAGAGACTCCTCGTTTACAATTTCAAGGATTTTACTTTCACTGTCTTTGCGCATCATTATTTTGTTGTAGTTAAACCAGGCAAATTTAAATTTCAACTCTTTTTTTAGATCTCTTGCCTTTTTGAATAGCATTTGATTTTCCTGCGTCATATCGTGGTTTAAGTAAATTGCTTCCATTCCGTTTTGGCCAATGTGCTGGCGTGTCAGACCTCTTTTTGTTTTGTATGCCGACAGCAAATTTTGTTTTACTTCTGTTGTGGAAAATTGCACTTTTAACTGCATTTTGCTTGCATCTTTGCCTATGTTGTGTACTTCTTTTATGTCACTTTCAGTTATTCTAAAGTTACACTCATCTCCAATCTTTGTTATTAGTTTTTTGTAGTCTGTACTGTTTACGTTTTCCAGGCCCTGTACTATTATATTATTGCTTAGTTTTTCCTGCTTAGTTTTGTTTGATTCTGTGATGCTGTTCACTGTTTGTTTTTCCAGTTTTTGTTGTTTGGTTTTAAGGTTCTTTATCTCATCTCTGAGTTTAGTGTTTTCTTCTAGAATTCCTTGGAATTTTTTTAATAGTTCATCGTGTTTGGTTTCAATTTTTTCCAGCTTTTTCATCACATCATTTAATGTAATTTTTGTATGTGTTCGTGGGCTTTTTTTATGTTTTGGGGTTGCCTCAGGTTCACTGCTAGAACTATCCTCAGCTTCATTTTCAGAGTCTGTATCGTCTTCGGTGGTTGATACTTCCTTTTCACAGTCAGCACATGTCCAGTTGGATTGTGCTCCTGTACACTCTTTGTGTGCCCACTTCTTGCAATTTAGGCACTGCAATTTGACTTTTGTTTTCCCCAGGGTTTTGTCACATATTGCACATGGGAGTGGTTTCTTTTTGGCTATTTTCTTGTTAGTCATTATGATTCGCTTGTTTTTTGATACAAAAATAGTTTTTATCACACTTTTGTACAAGTTTTAATACTTTTCGTTTAAATTAATTTGGTATTTCTTGTGGAAATTATATGTATATTATATATAATATTCATTAACTCTCTGACTAGAAAATGTCAAAAATATAGAGAACTATTAGATAATCAGTAAAAGTTAAAAATAAAATAAAAAGTATTCAAAGCGATTATAAAAATTATATGTATATATTTTTAAGTAACATAAAAAATAAAATCCTTAAAATTAAAATGTTTTAACTCTCTAATGTGACCCATATGGTAAGAGTAAATACACCTAAACTGATATAAATACCCCTAAATTTTGTAATTTATAAGAAATTTTAATGGATTTGAAAAATGCTATACATGTTACCATCATTTCTTGGTAGGAGTTTTAAAACACCCTGTAGTAACCATAGGAAATGTAAGTACGTATATCGTTCAATGCCCTATGTTTGGGAGGTCTACCCACAACATGATTAAAATAAATTTGTTAATAATAATTCATTCCTATTTATGTAGCATTGTGCATAGTTTTATTTATATCTTGGAATTAAGGTGTAATTTATTATATGTAATTATTTGGGGACTAGGTTGGCTAAAACAAAGTTTACTATAATAATAATAAACATCCTTTTTCAATCGTAAAATTTTTTTTTTCAAGCGCTCAATAATTTTCATATTATAACAGTCTATAACATAAAAGTATGAAACCCAAGGGCGAAAGCCTCGCACACAAATGTATGCTCGGCGATAATATGTGCTTTCTCCGCCTGGTCTATAACGTACTATTTTATTATAACTGTCCTTTTTGTTTTTGAACATTTGAGTAAAATATTTCTTTAAAATTTTGTCACATCTTTTTTAGGTTAGGTTCAGCTGACATAATGACTTTTAGTTTCATTTTTGTAATGAGGTTTATAATAATTTGACTTTTAAACTATAGTACTATAGTATTATAATAGTACATACTATATAAACTTATAGTCATAATTAGTATTTTTTTTTTAATTTTAACCACTAATAACTAATTTTCAGGATCCTCAAAAATTACCAAAAATACATGTCGGCTAAAATAATGTCCAAACTTTGTTTTAAAAATTCGCTTAGTCTTTTGTGTACATAAATAAAAAATCATAAATAAATGTGTCTGTCTGGAAAAACACCCTAAATAAAGCATTGACTGAAAAGGACACCAGTAATTGTTTCACAATATCTACAGTAAATTTCTGCGTTCAAATCAAAATAGTCAACAAATTAGAAGTTTTTGAAACTTTTTGAGTCTCATCAGGTGACGCAGGCTTAATAAAAAGACCAGGTAAAAAAGACTAATGTGACTTCATTTTTAAATTTTTAGCCATGTTCCAAAAAAATATTTAATTCTTTTTCTAAAATGTAAGATTTGGGAAACTCTTTTTTCTACTTCTATTATGGAATTTGACCGTTCTAATATCAGTTTTAAATGTGAAATGAAATACTCTCATAAAATAGCCAAAATTCTACTATTTGATTTAGTACAAGCATTTTTTACTAATCAAATAGTCGTTTTCACTTTTAAATAGTTATTTTTTTACTACTTAAATAGTTAAAGTTTGACTAATTTAAGATAAGTCACCATCTTTGACTGTTTCTGAGAGTTAAAACTAACTAATTTCTTTAATCGTTTGCGGCCAACATAAATTATTGTTTGAGGTAAAAAGTTTAGCTCAAAACACCAACACAAAAAAGATATTCAACTTTAAAATATTATGAACAATATTTATAGACAATAAAATTGATTTTTATAAAAGTGACTGATAGCGCATTGGTTATGACATCCGCTTGACAAGCTTGACAAGCGACAGACCCGAGTTTAAAGCCCGACTGGGTCAGAACTTTTTTAAATTTAAATCTACTAATTGGACTATTTCATTCAGTAGAATTTGACTAATTATTAGTGACTGCTTTTCCGCTAAGACAACTAGTCAAATATGAATTATAATTAGTTATTTTTGACTAATTCATTTTAAGAGAGTATATTCCTTAAAGTGTTACAGAATGAATAATTCTATCATTGGATGACAGAATGACACTGGTGGCGACATCTCTGTGTTTAATATATAACAAATTTTAGTCCGATCCAAAAAATAAAGTCCGAAAGAAAAAGTATAGTCTGAAACACGTTTGAAATTGCATATTCCGCTCTCGTGGAACCGTAAAACTCGCCTTCGGTTCGTGTGACAAAATTTGCACTCGGGCGGAATATGCCCTATTCCAAACTTGTAAACTTGAATATACTATTTTAGTTGTGTTTTTTGTGTTTATTATTTTCCAGATATTTTAAAGTGCATATGGGTGATTCTACAAAAATTGGACAACTTGTCATCAGTCAATAGAGTAGATATTTTATTATTTTTTAACTTGTCCACCCAATTTTAATGTATTTTTTCAAAAGCACTTTTGTAGAAAAACATAATAAATATTCCAAACATCAGTACCTTGCGTGTCACAACTCCTCAATCAAATATTTGAGTGATTTTATTTTAAAATATATTCAATTTATCTTAAATTTTTCAATTTCACTACAAACTATATAACATTAAATAATGTATTTTTCATATTTTATCATAGATTCGAATAATAGCAATTTTAAAAAAAATTGACAATCTTTGTACTCACTTTTACCCGTCAGTTCTGTGTCCAATGTTAAAATTCAAAATTACTGCGAAATATTGAAGTTTAGGTATTTAATTAGTACCCTGGTATAATCGTCACTTCCCAAAATACTGTTTAATTTTCTCCGAAAATTATATAAACAAAATGAGGTCAAAATTTGCCCAACTTTTGTAGAATCACCCATATCAATATTTTTTAGATAATTCTTAAAACAAATCTAAAGACATTACATATTTGATTAAGTTGGTGGTCAATGTATTTTGGTATAAATAGAAATTTATATTTAAAAAAATCTCTACCTTAAAAATTTGGCGAATGCGCCGGGGTTAATGTGAGACAAGTGATAAATCGTTATTTTTCTGTTTTGCAATTTAATATTGAAATTTAATAGATTATTATAGTTATTTGTATAACAAGTGTTAAAAAGCTTAAATAATGTTTTTCTCACAAGTGAGACAATGAAACGTCACTTTTCATTTGAGTTATGTGATGAGATGTAAAAAAACGGTTTTTGTCAGATGTGAAAAAAACATGAAAAAAAACTAGAAAAAAAACGATTTTTTTTGTTTTTTTTTTTCAAAATAAGTAAAATGTAGAATATATTACATTTTTCTTTATTGAAAATTTTGACCAAGACTAAAAAATCTGATTACTTATTATTTGTTAGTTTCCACATTAAAAACCAATAGCAATGTAAAACTTCTACACTAATACAAAAAATTAAAGGATAAAAAATAGTTTTTGCGATTTTTCGGATAGCTGTATCTTTGTTAAAAATGGTCGTATTGGAGCCGTAAAAAAGCAATTTGAAGCTTGAAGTTTATAGTTTTAAGATTTTTAGATGATAAACGTGCAACGCTCAATTCTAACGAATGCCGTAATAATAATAATAATTTTTTGGTCCACGGAATGTTCTGACCACCAATGAATAAATGTTCTACAAGAATTTGTTATTGTTTTTTTGAAAAAAATTTCTATACCCTACATAAATTTGAAAAATTATGAAAAAAGTGCTTTTGGTAGCTTTTTGAAAAATCAAGCGCTGAATCAAAAATATTATATGTAGTTACTTTTTTTAGGACCAAATCAAAACAAGCGCGGCCCTTATTGGTGAAATCGGTGGTTGTGGCGCGTGCATAGCGTGAGACTGTATTTACATTTACTAATTGTGATTTAGTGGCTAATTTTAGTCCATGGAAACATAAAAAATTAGGCAAATGGGACTAATCTTGAAAAAAAAACCTAAAATGTGAAAAAAACCATTTGAAAAAAAAACAATGAAAAAAAACCTGAAAAAAAAACGGACCGTTTTTTTTTCAAGTCGCATCTCTAGTGATGACATACGAAATGTGAATTTTACATAGCGTTTGAAGAAAAATATACCTAGATTTAAAAATCCAAATTAAAATGATCGGACCTCATCATGTAAAATTTAAATTTTTAAATCTATAGTAAAATCGTATGGCGTCGTAGTTAAGAAAATCAATCTTTTCATGATTTATGACCTTAATGTTTAAATGTTTTTTTAATAAGCAATAAATAGCAATTTAATGTGGAATCTATGCGATATACTGTAGCCAGTGAATAGATAATAATAGAGATGTCACAGCGAAACAAAACAGTATTTATCGAACCAGAATACACATGCACGGACTGTTTGGTAACTATAGTATACTACCTATTTTGAAGTACATTACATTGCAGCGCAACATTCTCTCCGACAATGGCAAAAACAACGGAGACGGCCGTGACGTGACCTAATAGGCTAATAGAGATCTATATGGCCAATTACAGACAATAACATCAATCATTTTGCACCGAAAGCGCCGATTATAAACCAAACAAAAGATTCCTCTACATCTAGGCCGCCTGAGACTCAAATTGTTTTGCGTTGACGGTGTGGGGCTAGAAAATTACGTTTTTTTGGGTCACTCGGGTGTCAAATACTTTGCAAATGTGAAAGAGGCCAAGGTTATGTATGCTTGAAAATAATAATAGGTGTATATTACAAAATTGGTTAATTTATGTGTTTCCTATTTATACAGTACATAAATTTTAGTATAAAATCTGTCGAAGGAAAATAAAAGCGCAAACAATAATTAATTGGTCTTTTGACATCCATACGTTTAACCCTGTTAAAGCGTTTTATAGTGTAAGTAAATAAATGTTCGAATTTCCCATTTGAACTTAAAAGTGTACTTGGAACCTTGGATCCACTAATCTTCACTTTAAATTCGAGGCACTTAATTTTTTACACGATAAAAAATTGATCTTAAATTCGAGTCACGATTTGCGCTGCCACAACGTTTTGTATGT